CCCCCCCCCCCCCACAAAATGTAGGATAATCTTTTCAGATAAATACAATATAGTAGCCCAATTTAGAACTACTGCCTTTTCATGAGCTCTGAAGTTTTCTCAATGAAGAAAAGGGTCTCTTGCCTACTTAATTGTACAATTTGCTCTAAAACAGCCAATATTGTCAGAATATATATAATCATAAAGGAAAAGTAAAACAAGATATGATCTTGAATATAATACCAGCCAAAAGCATGAACATTTAGAGCCTCCTGAAACCTTACAGTGACACACACGTCCCAGTTCTTATAGAAGTACTGAAACTGTTTTGGGGCTATTCTACCACAGACTATAGATAAGAGCTAATATCACATATCATAAATCTTCCATGTAGGAGACTAGGTGCTATGGAGAAAGGTTATCCTCCTCTTTACATGTTAGATGTCTATCTGGAGAGACTTTTTGTACTGAAACATTCACATGAGGTCCTGTAATCCTTATACAGGTTAACCACTCCAATGAGAATTAGACTGGAAGTGGAACTATTGTTTCTCAGCTAAAATATCCAAGATCTCTTTGAACAATTAGAATTTTTTTGCATGGAATTTTCTAATCACATGTACTGATGGCTACTCAATAAAAAATACATTTGCATTTTTCAGAGCCTATATATACCAACTTTTAAAGTATTTTAAATAGAAAAAGCACATTAAAAAGGATACTAGCAGTTAAAACTAAAGCAGGAATACAAGTTTTTATAAAAATTTTTAAAACTTAAAATAAAAGGAACTAAGATTTAACTGCCTGAACATAGCAACCTATTTTTAAATCATTTGAGATTCTTTAACTGAAGGACAACTATAACATGTTCCCAATAAATAATATATTTAGTGTAAGATGCAATGGTATCTACCTGCCATGTTAGATCCAGCAGGAGAGGCATGCTCTGAATTCCATCTGCAAGAGAGTGCCATCTGGAGGGGCCCAGGAAAAGAACATTTTCTGCTGTGGTGCCTGCCCCCGGGAACATCATCCCACCAGAGATTAGGCTTGCCCTGACCCTGCTGGCCTTTCGCAAGGGATTTAAAAACTTGGTTTTGCCATCAAACCTGGCGCTCTGATACTGCGGGTGAGCCTGTTTCTTGGTCATGGTTCTACTAAATATGGAATGATATGAGTGTTCTTGGTATTTATGATATTTTTAATTTTGGTTGTTTTTACTGTTTTTACTGTTTTTAACTGTTAGTTCCCCAGAATCATGCCTAGGAGATGGGCAGCCGTATAAATTTATCAAATAAACAAGAGAACCTATCAAATAACAGGTTTTCTTATTGTTCCAGTTCATAATACCTTAACAAAAGTAATATGATTCTTACCTGGAGTTCTTTAGGCAAAATTTTATTTTTCCTAATGCAATTCAGCCGTAATCTTTGATCTGCATAATCAAAAGCCATTTTCCTTCTCTTAACATCACGTAGCATCCTCCAGTCCACATAATAACTCCTTATTTGACCAACGCATGGCATGGGGAAGAACTAATAAACAGAAATTACAATCAGCTTTTGTTCAAGCAAATGGGCATGAGTGTCTAGATCCAGACTGGTGCAGGTATATTCTTAAAATCTTTAAAAAAGCAAAGCAATCATATTGATCATAATATAAGATCAGTGGAGGTTTACAGAACAGTTTGCTACAACTTCAGAAAAAATGTGGGAGGAGAGAGAAAAAAAAGTTAAAGAGAGGTGCAGAACCATCTAGACACTGCTAAACTACAACAACTGCATGGCCAGTGATGTGAGGTGCTGGGGACTGCACTTCAGCAATACTGAAAAGTCTAGAGAAAAACTCCTTTTATATTAAGTTACCTGCTCTTAATTTTCTAAGTGTTTCTGGCCTTGTGCATAGTCACTCTAACAGACCTCACCAATACCTTGTGTTCTGAGTTAATTCCATTTTTGAAGTTCACATCAACACACTAAATAAACCGACCCAGGGTAGCCAAAATGTGGTTGTGGGTCACAGAAACCCAGCCAGAAATTTTAGCTCGTCAGCTGCACCCTCTGCTAACGATTTCCAGCACGGTGGCGGGCAAAGCAGAGAAAAATCGCATGACTGACTGTCTCTGGTGCCCCATTCGTAACTTGATTTAATGCAGCTTCTGGTTAGTTTTAGCCCGTGGTAATTTGGCTCTGGACGACTTCATTTTCAGTAGCATAATATGAGCATGCCTCCTACTCAGAAAAGGCCGCAAAGGACAGGTAACATGCATCCGCCACAGATCTTTTGGAAGGTCGGCAGTGCATGACTTTTAAGGCTGGGCTTATCTCGTAGCGACTATTGGGAAAACAGCACTCGGCAGAAGCGAAAGTCGACGTAACGAGCGCAGCACGCTAAGTGAGGAACCAGGAGGGAAAGCTGCCGTGCCCGGCCGCGACTCTAACCTGCCGAAACGCCGAGCGCAGCGCCAAACCCACTGCCGCCATCTTTCCCACAGCGACGCTATTAGGACTGCGCATGCGTCGCTGGCACCTTGAGCGGATCGACTGCTTGAGTTGACCCGCCAGTGCGTGAAAATGCGGATGGGACGTAAAGGAGAGGGGCGGGCGCTGAAGCGGAAGTTGATGAAAGAGCGGAAGCAGTAGGCGGGTTTTGTCAGAGTGGGCGACAAAGCTTAACAACACTTGGGTGTTACGAATTGAACTTTTTTAAAGGTGAGCGTAGGAGCTTTTATTATTTCCACAGAATTAAACTCTCTCTCTCTCTCCCTCTATATATAGTATTTGTGTGTGTATATATGCATATACATTTATTTATTTATATATCACATTTCTATAGCCGCCCATCTCACACAAAGCGTGAATTAAACCCTTTAAGGTTAGATTGAGCCCGCTCTGCGCTCCCAAGCAATTGTATGTAAGATTGCAGCCTAGTGGTTCAGATGTTACAAGACTACTTCACATTTTCGTTGCAGCAGGCTAAATGGGTTGTTTCTCTGGAAGCTTTCATTAAGAGACCAATCCATAACAGAAATCCCAGTACGGCTGAATTCACAAAACATGGTAGGGTAAATGTGGTTGATTACTTTTTGTGAACCACCCAGGGTGCTTAGTTCATGCTGAGTATGTTGTATTAACCCAAGCAACTAGATTGATTAGGCAAACCTAGAATCATGTAATTGTGGATTAGCGTGATGTGCTAATAGAGTACATAAATGGAATTCTGGCTTTGGTGTTTTTTGTTTGCACGCTTGTTTTTGAAGTTGACACAATTCAGCCCTCAGATATGGAGAGCTGAGAAGGTATCACTGTTAAGTCAAAAGAAGGGCCAAATAAACTTTAAATGGATAAGCCTAGTAAGATTTGTTATAGCTAGGAAACTTTCCTATTCTATGGAGCTGGTGGACAGACTTGATGATCCTGTAATAATACAGAATTGCATGATAACAATATTAAGTACAAATAATTGCAAGTGTTCTTTTCCATGTTTAGGTAGGTTTTATTAGCTGACATTCATTGCTGTTCTGAGAAGATTCATAATGAGAAAAAATGTTGGAAAGGTGACACTTTCTCTCTGAAAAATATGTAAAATTTGCAATCAAAGGAAAATAGTGTAAATATAAAGAGTTGTTTTTAAGTGGAATTTTAAATAAGTTTTTTACTTATGGAAGAAAACAAATTAATGGTTTGTTTTGGTAGGCTTTATGACACAATTAGGCTGAAATGAAGGAGACGCTAAGGTGATTAAACTGTAAGTAGAAAGTCTGATGAAATCCATTGGACCCTGGACAGAGCTTGGGGAGCCCGCAGGGCTGGAGATAAATAATTTTTTCAGGCATAGTTACAATGTTCTGCTTTTTGAAGCTCCTAATTTTCGTCAAGCTACAGTTTAGACTAACAGAACAATAATTTTTCATAATTGTGTTGACTAGCATGCTATAAAGAAAGCTTTGTCAAGGCCCAACTGATTGGTGATCTTTTCCCCTTTTACTACAGGAAGCATGTGTAATTTGATAGGAAAGGGCCTGGAGCAAATTTCTTATGAAAATTTACAAATTTCATTGTCATCACTGATTTCTATGGCATAGTTGCTGGAAATTATCCGTACTAATTTCTCTGAGAAACTTTTGATCTTAGGGATTCCAAACTGAATTTTCTATGTCATTAGTCATTTGCATGTGTTCATTCTGTATGGATGAAAGTTCAAAGTTTATCTTAATATTCAGCATTTTTCCACACCTCAGTTTCTACTTCATACTTCTATTAAGTATGAAAATCTCTAGAGAGATTGTTGTTTGTATATTCAACAGAATGCATTTAAAAATTCCCTGCAGTCAGGAATTCTTATACAGGGAGTCCTCATTTAACATCCACTTGTTCAGTGACCAAAGTTATGAAGGCGCTGAATGAGGGGTACCTACAACAGGTCCTCATAGTTGCAGCTGTCACAGCATCCCCATGGTCACATGATTGCGATTCAACCTCAAGCAAAGTCAATGGGAAAGCTGGCAGGAGATTGCATATGGCAATCACATGACTGCAGGATGCTGCTACTGAGCAGGATTTGCTTAGCAATGGTAACTGGGACTGCTGGAACTGCCACTGTAAGTCAGTGTGGTCATGTGATGTTGCGGTTTATGACTGCATTGCTTACTGACAGAGTTCCTGGTCCCAATTATTGTTGGTAAGCGAGGTCTACCTGTAAGGCAGCCTACATGCTCTCAGAAAACGAATAACTGTCTATTGTTGTCCAATATGAACTGGAAAAATAGTTGTCAGCAGAAGGGGATATCAGAAAGCCATTTGATCCATTTGATAATTATTACAGTTATTGCCATTGTCATATCCTCTTATGTAGTCTCTTCATCAAAGCATTTGACATTTCTATTATTGCTATTAATATTTCATTTTTGAAATGAAGGCCAACTCTACAAGTAAATGAAATTCAATCAAAAGTCCAAATGTTGGGTTTAATAGGACTGCAAAAAGAAAATTATGCAGGTCAGAATATATCAGAAAATTAGTAATAAAAACATTCATGCCAGCAAGAGTTTTTGAAAAATTATATTAAATAGATTGACTCCTCATACTAAAGCCATGGTAATTAATAACTTTCTAATGTGATCCTAGACTGGGGAAACTACACAATGTTAAAAATCATTACCTTATGTAGGAAACTGTCTGGCTGTATATATATATCAAATATAATCTTCTTTATTCAGACACATCTAATAAGAAAGCACAACTATGAGATTTAAATAACTCATTTCTCAGCTACAATACCTACCTAATAAAGTTTAAAAACTGATCAGCACGGTTTCCATTTGTAATCTACTATAAGATAACCCCAGAAGACAAAACAATAGAATACTACTTGTCATGTACAGCTTTCACCACTCAAATGTATCATTTATTATCTACTACCCACACAGTATAGCAACACTTCCTTTCACAGAACGTGGGAGATACAGTGGTACCTCGGGTCACGAACGCGTCTGTTCACGACCAATTCGGATCACGAACAGCACCATTCGCAAAATTTTGCTTCCATTCGCGAACGCCGGATTGGGTGACGAACAGGATCCGCGGCCATTTCCCCGGCCGTGACACGTGGTCATGGCTTCCTGTAGGGAGGGGGACTCTCCCTCCAAGCAATAACTGCCTCCCCACCCGCCTTCCTGTCCTCCACGCCAGAAGTCGTGTCGAGCAAGGTTAGCGTTGTCTCTCCTCCTAGTGTACTTTGTGTTATATTTTTGTGGTTTTAAAAAAAAAAACATATGGTTCAGAACGGATTAACCGTAATTACATTGAACCTTATGGGAAAATTTGATTTGGGTCGCGACCAATTCGGGTCGCGACCAGAGTCGCGGAACGAATTAAGTTTGTGACCCGAGGTACCATTTCTTCGTACTGTACTTTGTGTCATATTTTTGTGGTTTTAAAAAAAAAAACATATGGTTCAGAACGGATTAACCGTAATTACATTGAACCTTATGGGAAAATTTGATTTGGGTCGCGACCAATTCGGGTCGCGACCAGAGTCGCGGAACGAATTAAGTTTGTGACCCGAGGTACCATTGTACTTGGTATCAGGCAGCTGCCCCACTTAGACAAGTTTATCTATTTCTATGCCAAAGAATAAATGTCACAAATATCCAGTCAAAAGTGACAGTGTTTAAAAATTAGTGGGGAACATTTGAGTTCTCCAGGATACTGTTTCTTATAGATAAGACCAAGGCTGGGACTTCTTTTCACAATTCTTAACATAACTATACTGTGCAAGAATCTATGTCACACTTAACTCCTGCTTTGTTTTTGTTCACTGAAGGTTATTCTCACTGTCTCTTCTCTTCATTTCTTCCCTGCCCCCTGCTGTCACTTGCTGTGTATACAGTATTTCTCAGGATTAAGTTCCAGGCATCTGATCAAGTGGACTGTGTTCCACAAAAATGGATGTGATAACAATTAAGTTGCCTTTAAGATGTCAGAAACTCTTTGTTGTATTTTCTGCAACTCCTCTGGAAAGTAAAGGATGTACTGGCATCTTTAGGACCAACCCAAGAAGCTGTGAAATCCCTAAATGATCTGCAGAGATCAGCAGAGACCATGAGCCACTTCAGACTGCAACAGCAGCACCCCACCATTTTGAAAGGAAAATTCTAGAAATATATCTGCAGTCATCTGAACGAAACAGATGTTGTGTCTCTGGGCATTCGGAGCAGTGATTAAGCAGCTCCTTGCCATTCTGCTGTCAAGGTGGTATCTTTCAGCCACCTACATTTAAATTTATAAGAAACCTTTCTTCCTTCCTTTTTTCAGATAGTGCAGTAATAGATCTAGCTTTTCCAAAGCAGAACACTTGCTTCTTTCCAAGGAATACAAATGATTAGAGGATTTTGCAGGCTTTCCCCCTCAAATTAGTTGAATCTTGTAGCTATAATATTAAAATGTACGTTAGGTGGTGCTAGTGACTGAAGGAAAGCACTGTTGTCAGCCTCATCATTATATAACTAAAAATTCAGTTTTCTGATTTTCAGACTTCATGTAGCTGAAGCAGTGCTGTTCTTATATAAAAGAGAATTTTTAGAGGTTTGACCATATTTTTGCTGGAAAAACACATCTTGTGGCACTTGAATTTTATGTTGTTATTGCCTTACATTTCATACAGCTGATGAAATGGACTAGGATGCATGTATGCTTAAATGGCAGTTGGTTCATCTTTAAGATGCCACAGGTTTCTCTGTTGTTTTGGATACAAGAGAGAGGTATCAGCAGTCTTTGAGGACTTAGAGTTTTGCAGAAGAAGTACAAAACAATTAGAAAGTGGAAGGAGGGAATACCCCACTGAAGATCCAGTATGCTAAATGGGACACAGGATATTGACTACAGTGAGGAAAAAAAAATTAAGCATTGGGGAAAGAAATGGAATTGGCTGTTGTGATGAAAAAAACATGGGATTGACTGGAACCTGAACAAGAATGTGCCATAATCCATATTGCAACATTGTGTTCTGTGACCCAGTTGCTATGAGCAAAAGATCCAGTTTGCTACTGAATATGTTGTTTTAGGACTGGGGAGAACCAAGTTCAAATCCCATTCAACCATGACATTTACTTCATGAGTTTTGATGAGTCACTATTTCTTAGTCTAGTTAAATTCATAGGGTGCTTGTGAATACAAAATGTAGAGCAAGAAGGAGAATCATGCATGCTGCCTTGAGTGTTTAAAAGAAAGAAGTGGTATACATGGAATTAATGAATAAAGCATGCATGTTTATTTTCTTTTTGATGTTCTATCCTCAATACTCTTACAGTCCTGCACTGAGATTGTACTGTAATTATCTGTTCAAATATATCTACAGTTGTAAGATAGTTAATACAGTACTTGAAAATACGTGTCTCTATTCTTACTTAAGAGGAAAAATATGATGCAACAAAGTAACAAAAGCTGAAGCATGGTTCTTTAAGATGTTTTCTATCACAAATTCCATTGAAATTAGTAGGAGCTATGCAAGAAATGGTAGAACTTCTCCATGAAAGTGTTGGAAAGTAATTATTAGAAAGCTAAAGTAACACCATGTTAGAAGAGAAATTAGTGTTGCACCATTATGAAGGAGAGAGTGAGCCACATAGAAAGATAAAAGATAAGGCATACCAATTAGAAAGTGGGAAATTGAGCTATACCTTATTAGGAAAGTTAAACATGAGAACTTTAGGGTCAGACATGCACAAATTTGTTGTTTATACCTGTCTGTAAAAGGGTGTTGTGCCCCTGACAAGGGGCCAGTTTGCACCCAGCGCTTTTGATTTGTGTGCCTAATAAACTTTTGAACTCTGAACTACAGCATCTAGCATTTGACCTGATCAAGAAACAAACCAAAAGGGAAGAAATTTTTCCAACAAAAATTACATGACCGTTACATGACTATTCTCTTCTCTCATTACAGTAAATTTACTCTTATTCAGTAAATGAATGAAACTCCTGGTGCAAACCATTTTAATCACATCACATCACAGCCCAAATCATAGCACCATTGAATCACAAAATCATAGCGTTAAAGGGGCTATTTAGGCCATCAAGCCCAACCAATTCAGTTCTGGAATCTAGATTAAAGAATCTGCAACAGATAGTTGTTCAGCTTTTACCTTTCTTGTGATTTGGAAACCATGCTTGTGTTGATGCATCTTAAAATTGTGTTTGTCTTTTTTGCAGGTATGTCATGCTGCTGACTGAGAAACAACTAGTGATCAGCTACAGTTCCAGGATCTTTTCACATATAATATTACTAGGTCAAATAGCTGCCATTCAGTATCTGTGCGCTTGATATTTTTTTCTAAAATGTACAAGTTTTTATCTTCCTGCAGTGTCAGTTCATTTCCCTCATCTCTCAAAAGCATTCTGAATTTTGTTTTGTCATCTGTGGCATTACCTGTTCCCCAAATTCCATCAATATCTGCAAATTTGATACGCATTTCTTCCATCTCCTATTCAGATCATTAATAAAAACACTAAAGAATACTCCACCAAGGACGGAATCCTGTGGTATCTTGCGTAATGTTTCTACCCAGATGGGGGACATGAGCGGAGAAAACTTGGTATCCTAATTGCCATGCCTTCCACCCACATTTAAGTAGTTTGCTAATCTTAATGTCAAATACTTTACTGAATCCAGGATGTATTATGTTCATAGCATCCCTACAGTTCCTTAAAGATGTTCCTCAACTAAACTTCTAATAGGCACAGCATTATTTTCAAGATACTGATAGACTGATTATGAACTGGTCTAAGAATCTTCCTAGGTATCCTTATCAGCGTAGCACTTCACATTTTCTCTAAGGCTACATTTATTGTATTTCCTATAAACTGCCAGGAGTCCTTTGGAATTGCATTGAGATATAATTATAAAGAAATAAAATTTAGGCAGTTGCAGGAACAATCTCTTAATGTAAATTATACTGATGTAAAAGTTTATGTTTCCATCAGCAATCCTTATCCCGTTACTGCCATGATGCTGGCAAAATGGTGTTGCCCTTAATTACATTGTGCAGGGCACATTAAGAATAGGGTTTGGTGGATTCTTCTAGCTTTCTTTCCCTCCCCTCTCACCAAACATCACCAGCTGGTGGGAAAACATCCATCAGTTATACCACTTAACATGGGATGGAGCTGAGGCTGGATGAAGAGGCTGGTGAGCTAACAATTTGTCAAAGCTTGCTTCAATTTGTTGTGTTTTCTGCTGATGCAGTCAAAGGGCATTGAACTGTTAGCTGATAGTAGGGCTCCTTTAAGAATAGATGTAGCCCTTCAACACAGTGTTCAGGAGGGGAGGGGACATGCTCATACTTGTGATGGACTGGAATGGAGGAAGGGGGGTGAAAACGGTGCTCTCGTCCTCTG